TCTCTCTCTCTCTCTCTCTCTCTCTCTCTCTCTCTCTCTCTCTCTCTCTCTCTCTCTCTCTCTCTCTCTCTCTCTCTCTCTCTCTTTGTTTTTGTTTGAATGGCTGGACGGAACTTGATCCGCAAAGTTTGTCTAACCTTTTGCTCATTTTTGGATTGCATCATTCGACGTTTCTTATGGATTGATTGATTGTTTCATTCTTCGGTTGATTGCTAGATGGGCATTCTTTTTTCGCAACCATTTGACCCCAATGGGGGTGCTGTTGTGCTGTTGAAATTTCGGAACTGTTCATTTATTGGCCGCCCAATCCATCAACCACTTTGTCGCTCTCTCAATCAATCATTCAATCGAACAAATTTGTTGGGCATGTCAATTCATCAACCACAGTGACTCTGTCGCTCGCTCAACCAATCAATCAATCAATCAATCAATCACGAAATGAAATGAAATGAATAAAGTCCAATAAACCAACCAATCAATCAATCATGAAATGAAATGAAATCAAATCAATAAAGTTCAATAAACCAATCAATCGATCAATCAAACAAGCAAACTGTCAATCGTACCATCCACCAATCAATCAAACCATCAATCAATCAATCAATCAATCAATCAATCAATCAATCAATCAATCAATCGATCAATCAATCGATCAATCAATCAATCAATCAATCAATCGGCCCGTCAACCTATTGACTGATCAATCATTCGACTTAATCCATCTATCAATGAAGGGTTCTCTTCATTGATTGATTGAATGATTGATTGAATGATTGATTGATTGAGTTTGATTGATTAGCTGGTTCATTGGTTGATTGATTGGTTGACCGGTCGATTGGTTGATTGATTGGTTGAGTGATTGATTGATGGTTTGATTGATCGAACGGTTGGTTTATGTGAATGGAGATTGGAGGAGGGAGAGCATTGAGGGTCAAGGAGTGAACCGGCTTTAACAAGTTTTGTTCTATTCGCTGTCTTTGTGTGATTGCAGGATGACTAAAAGCGGCAGCCAGACCGTGAAGAAACACTTCAGGGAAGTGGGAAGCAGTGGGCAAGCCGACAAGGGGAACAAAAAGCGTGTATGCATTTACTGCGACAAACCCGTGGATGGGACAGCCAGCAGGGCAAGGGATCATTTCCTCAAGGGGTCGAGATGCAACGTCGAGCGCCTCAGAGGTACTATACCAGAAGAGGAGTACTTGAGGAGGGAGAAGGGCAGGTCGGCTGCAAGGGCCGAGTTGGGGGCCAACATGGGAGAGCCCGAAATGGAGGTGTCATCGGAGGATGAGAATGCTCCGCGGACATCGGGAGGAGTTGTGGATCCATGGGGGTCTGCGGTAGGGCTCTGCCAGACAAATCCGCAGACGTTGGCGGCAGCAGTTGCGGATCCATCGGGGTCTGGAGTTGGGCTCCGCCAGACAACGATCATGGACAGCGCTGCTGTCATCACGACACACGAGCAAACACAGCGCACTATAGACGACTGGATGACGGCCGAATGCATCCCGTTCAACATGATGAAGAGCGAGTATTGGGACAGAATGGTGCACACGCTCATGAATGCGCCGAAAGGCTTCAGGTACGCGAAGTTTGAGAATGCAAGGACGAAGAGGGTTGAAGTGACAAGGGGCAGGGTCAGGAAGAGGGTGGAGGAGTTGCAACAGGAGTGGCCAACCACTGGCTGCATGTTCCAACTTGATGGTTGGACAGATCGCCGACAGAGACCACACATCAACGTGATGGTCTCCTTCCCTAAAGACTCCATCTTTGGAGAAGTGTGTGTATGTCGCGGCGCAACAAGGGCGCCTCAGCATACTACGCCATTTTGAAGAGGGCAATAGAGGAGATAGGTGCGGAGGCAGTGGTGGGAGTCATTATGGACAATGCAGCTGTTTGCGCAGCTGCGGGACGAATGATTGAAGCAGATTACCCTCACATCTTCTCTGTCCCGTGCACAACACACTCCCTCGACTTGATGTTCGAGTCTTTCGCGAAGATCGGGTGGGTCGGTGCAATCATGAAAAGGGCATCGGAGGTGGCAAAGTTCTTCACGAACCATTCGCAGGTGCGGGACGTCCTGACCCACAATTCCGGTGGCGGTGTCGTGGCAAAACTGGGTGCGACCCGATTTGCCACCAACTTCATCATGCTGTCCAGCCTGAAGCGGTTGTACTTGCCGCTGCGTGCGTGTGTGACAGATGACGACTAGAAGCCAACGATCGCGCACACTTCGCTGCGTGAGCAGTTTGTGAA